GAGAGAGAGAGAGAGAGAGAGAGAGAGAGAGAGAGAGTGAGTGCATGCATGTGTGCTTCTTCTTCCTTTTTTATCCCAATGAATTTGTTTTTCAGATTTTGAAAAAGAAAACCAGTTTATCCAGGATTCTTATCTGGTTTTTTTTTTCCTGTTTTCATATCTTTGTGTATGATCTCTGTAGTTTTCAGATCCCACGTTTTTGTATGGGTTCCACTGTTGTCTAAGGAAAGTTGTTTTAAACCTTTGCTCTGCAAGCACCAGCAGAGAACTCAGAAAAAGGAAGACAACAGCAGATGCAATCACGGATGTGGCTTAGTCCTTGCAGCTGCCCCAGAGAACTGTTCAGAGTGTACCATCCACAGTAATGAATCCAGAAGAGCGAATCGTGACATGGCTTATATCTTTGGGAGTTTTAGATTCCCCAAAAAAGACCATCTGTGATCCGGAGGAGTTCTTGAAGTCCTCGCTGAAAAATGGGGTAGTGCTATGCAAACTGATCAACAGACTTATGCCTGGCTCAGTGGAAAAGGTAAGGTCAATTTTGCATTATCTTTGGGATTGCTTGCCATCAGAAAGCAGTAATAATATAACTCTCAAGATTTCCCACTACTAGGTTGAGAGAATCTCCTACTTGAATATGTTTCTGAAAGTTAGACATTCCTTTGTACTGCTTTTGTAGTTTGAAATGGTCAGGAAGCTAAGTGTATTCCTTCAGTAACTGGCCCCCAAATTTTCACAGAATAATAACTTATTACACTACTGGCAAGAGGGGACAGGGCAACACCCATAACACAAATTTTCTGTGTCGTGGAGATGCATACTGCACTTCCCTGTGTATCTCAGACATGTTTAAAACTTGGGGTGCATATGAGTCTTTGGAATAATTGTATGATTTATAGCAGGTCTTGATGATATTTACTGACAGGCTGCCTAAAAATTGATGTAAATTTCCTTTTCAAAAAATTGCCATTGAAGAAGGGACTATTTAGCAAGCAGAAGTGGTCTAAAATGTCACATAAGGTTTGTGAAAACAAGAGAAACCAAATATATATTTTGAATGCAATGTGTGTTCAAAGTGAAACTAAACTTACCCTCTTAAAAAAAATCCCAAGATTTTTAAAAATATTTTTTAAGTTATAGATGGACACAATACCTTTATTTAATTATTTTTATGTGGTGCTGAGGATCAAACTCAGTGCCTCATACATGCAAGGCAAGCACTCTGCCACTGAGCCATAATCCCAGCCCCAAATCCCAAGATATTTTGATGTTGGGAGCCCATGATATTGACAATAGATAATTTCTAAGTTAGGCCCTTGAAGTAAGCTTAATGGTAGAGTCCTGAAATTATTTTCTTAAGCTCATCATGGAATATGACTGAGTAGCATTCTTTTGTCTTCTTGAACCAGTTTGTATTTTTATTGAGCAAGTAGATTTAATTTATAATCTCTTAAACCTGAGACACAGTGATAAAATGGGGGTAAAACAGAGAAATATAATCAAATTAGACAACAGCCAAGGGAAATAAGTTTTTAATAATTTGTCATGGGGAGGGGAGGTAAGAAGTATTGCTTTCTTGCTTGAAAGCAAGAACTGAACTCAAACAAATACTGTCTTGGTCTCTCTAAATTTGTTATCACCACCTGAAGGTTGAAGGCATGAGAAAACGCTCGTAAGTAGAAGTGGCTTGGTGACATTTGAAAGAAAAACCAACCATTTAGATTTTTGCATCACTTCCTTTGGTGGTTATTTCTCTTCCTGGTTTGGCAGCAGCATCACCCTCTGCCTTATTTAGCTATCAGCGAATGATGAATATGGTTTGCTGGACATGGGATGACAATCTCCAAGTGACATTTGACTGTATTTCTCTAGTATTGTCTGGAGCCCCAAAATGAAGCCAGCTGCATCAGTAACATCAATGGCTTCCTGAAAGGATGTGCGACCCTCCAAGTGGAGGTAAGCCTACCCAGCTTATTTTCCTTGTTGTCACTATTTTTGCTCTGCTGATAAAAATTGGTGAGTAAGAGTACTTCATCGATTTTCACTGCCAATGGCCACTGACTTAAACAGGAGTAGTATGTTATAGAAACCAGAGTTGAGATTGGTGGCCTGCAGAGGTAGATTGCTAGTGTTGGTCTTTTCCATAAACCAGTTCCAAACAAAACTCAAAAGATGGTGCTGGGGTTGTAGCTCGGTGGTACTGAGCTCACCTCGTGCGTGCAACACCCTGGGTTTAAGCCTCAGCACCACATATAAATAAATAAATAAATAAATAAATAAATTCTGTCAACTACCAATAACAGTGGTGCCTATTACTATTATTATTATTTTTATTATTATTATTTTTCAGCACTAAGGATAGAACTCAGGGTCTCAAGCACTCTGGGATAATGCTCTACCACTGGGCTACATCTCCAGCCCTAAATTATGCCTTTTAAACACACATCCAATTCCTTAAAATAGGCTTCCAGTGACAGAGCTTTTGTGGGTGTTCTTCCCCACAAAGGGGAACCAAAAGTGGGCCACTGATAGCTGAAGAGGGTCACTGTAATTCCCTTGAGTTGGGAAGCAAAGAAAGGCTATTGCCATTCTTTCCCATTAACTCCTCAGACCAGGGGTCTTGAAAAGTTGAGAGAGCCTGGCCTCGAGATAAAAATTATATATTAAAGTATGTTGCATCACTAATGGGTCCTTACAGCTTTTATAATGGTGTTACTGAAAAGGAGGTGATGCTTCCACCTGTGTGTCAAGATACTTAACTTTTCTGTGCCTTGATGTTTTTATCTGCAAAATGGACATAATAATAGTTACTTTTCCTTAATGGATCAAATGAGACACTGAATAACAATTTAGGGCTAAAAGCACCAACCTCATGAGATAATTTATGTAATGTCCTCAGCATAGGGCTGGGACAAAAGTTTCCTTTATTAGTAGATTAGCATTAGCAGTGTTCCCTCTGGACAGGTAGTAGTGTTTGTGTTTTAATTTTTTTTTAGTTGTAGTTGGACCCAATACCTTTATCTCATTCACTTATTTTTATGTGGTGCTGAGGATTGAACCCAGGGCCCCGAGCATGCTAGGCAAGCGCTCTACCGCTGAGCCACAATCCCAGCCCAGAGTAGTAGAGGTTTGAGCCTGGACTCTGGTGCTAGATTTCTTGGGTTTAAATCTCAATTCCAGGGATATAGCTCAGTTGGTAGAGTGCCTGCTTAGCATTCACAAGGCCCCCTAGGTTCAATCCCTAGCACCACCAAAAATAGAAAAAAAATCTTAATTTCTCTTCACTAGTGGATTTGTGATCTCTGGCATATTACTTAAATATGCCTCTATGCTCTTGTGAAATGGGAATAATAGGGGCACCTATGTTATAGGACTGATGTGAAATCTCAATGAATTTAGTCATATAAAGCCCCCAAACAAGTTCTTGGAACATTTTCAAGTGGTAGTTATTCTTCTTATTAGCAGTACTAGGAACTTTACCCCAGATACTTAGCTTGCTTCACAATTTTCCCTAAAGCTAGCCCTAGTGTAAAGCAACACCTATCTCAGAATATCTTATTCCAGTTTTCCCTATTGCTCAATTTGAGAGCTGTGTGTATGTGTGTGTGTGTGTGTGTGTGTGTGTGTGTGTGTGTGTGTGACACACATGTGCATGCATGTGGCTTTTGGGGTAGACATGGCTTCAGACCACCACTTGATATTTCTTATATAATGATGTCTACTATGGAACAGATCATGGTATTTTCTTTTTTAATTTTTCAAATAAAAACATGGTGAAGTTGCCAATGATTGCTGTGCTCTGAAGCTGCCAGAAGGTAGACTGAGCTTCTCTGCAGTTCTAAGAATACTAGATGGTACAGAAATACCTCCTGGGTCTGGAATTGTTGGGGATTTTTCCAATAACTAATGCTTACTCCTTTAAGCATAAGTGCTTAAAATATTTTTATCCACTTTGGGTAGAAATCTTTCTAAAAAGTGCATCACAATAATTCATCTTCTTAAAAAGGATTTGGCATATTTTCATCTCCTTTTGATAATTCAGGCTGACCTGAGTGTGTTATGAATATGGTAAAAAGCAATATCTGCAATTGTAGTTACTCATAAGCCTTCCCTAGTTTAATCTGAGTTAGAGTCTTGGCTTAGTCAGTTACTGACTCTGGGAAAAGTTACTTGCCATGTCTATGCTCCTGTTTCCTCATTTGTATAATGAGGACATTAGCAATATGTACCACACAGGATTGCTTTGAGGATCAAATGAGATGATGCATCCAAGGCACTTAATATATCACTGCACAAAAATATGAATACTGGCTGTTCTTGGATGTGTTGTTACTCATGCCTGTAGGTGATATACAGGTGCCATACTGGGGCCCTCCTAGAACCCTGAGAGAAGACTCATAAAATTAGTAAACAAGGGATGAGACTGGAAGCTGAGCTGGGAAGCTCCAAGCAGCTATGTTGACCATAAAGTCTCAAGCCAGGAATCAGACTCAAACACACAAATATTTTCAAGTGTCACTAGACAGAGTATCTGTCAGGCCTAGCATAGTGCCTGACATAAGGCATGTCTAATGAAGTTTTGTTCACTCTATGAAACTGTGAATATATTAAAAGAAAGAAAAATCAGGGCTTGACTATTGCCCAGAACACACCGTTACTCATCTAAAGAATGAGTGCCAGCTTGAAATGGTCAGTTTGACAATGTAGAAAACATGGAGCCTGAGATACAGTTGGGAATCAGATTCTGGGGCATAGGGACCACATTAAAGAGCTGCTGCCTTCTGGACCTCTGAGGCCATTTGGTTTTTTCCAGATGACTTCTATCTTTGTGTTCTCATATTGTGACAATGTCTTAGGATCTCCAGAGGATCACACAAATAGTAACTGATGGGGGAAGTCTGCTGAGACACCTGGGTAACAGTGTTCTCTGAAGCACTTCCCCAACTTTGATAAAATCCCTTGAAACACAAAAGTTTAAAAAATTCTGATGAAGTCAAATTCATTTATTTTTTGTTAATTTTGTTATTTGTATCTTTCATATCATCTAAGAAACCCTTGCCTATTCAAAGGTTATGAAGATTTACTTTGATTTTTCTTTTAAGAGTGTTACAGTTCTAATTCTTACACTAGGTGCCTTGATCCATTTTGAGTTAATTTCTTTATGTGATAGGAGACAAGAGTCTAAATGAATTCCTTTGCATGCACACATGCATTTTTCCTCAGTATAATTTATTGAAAAATTATTCTTTCTTCAATTGAATTGATTAATGTAGCTTTTTAAAATCAGAAGGTGTGAGTCCTCAGCTTTGTTCTTCATTTTCAAGATTGTTTTGGCTATTCTGGATCCCTTGTATGTCCATGTGAATTTTAGGACCAGCTTGTCCATTTCTGTGGGGGGAAAAAAGCCAGCTGAGATTTTGATAGTTATTGTGTTCAATCTGCAGATCACTTTGGGAAATATTGTCATCTTGATAACTTTTCAGTCTTTGAATCTATAAACACAGGATATCTTTCCATTTATTTAGGTCTTCTTTAATTTTATTTGACAATGTTTTGTAGTTGTCAGTGTAAATGTCCTATGCCTCTTTGGTTTAATTTTTTCCAAAGTATTTTATTCTTCTTGAAGCTATTATAAATAGAATTATTTTCTTAATTTTGTATTTGAATTGTTCATTTCAAGTGTATAGAAATACAATTGATTTTTTATATTTCTATTCAACTTTGTATAAGATTATGTCATCTGTGAACAGATACCATTTCTTCTTTCCTTCCAATCTGGATAACTTTCATTTCATTTTCTTCCTTCATCTGTCTGCCTAGAACCTCCAGCACAATGTTAAATAGAAGTAGTGAGAATGTCCTTGTCTTGCTTCTGATTTTAAAGATTAAAGCTTTCAGACTTTCACTACTGAATATGTTATTAGCAGTGTATTTTTCATAGATACCCTTATCATGTTGAGGAAATTCCCTAACACTGCTAGTTTGTTGAGGGATTTTTTTTTTAAATCGTAAAAGGGTGCTGGATTTTGTCAAATGCTTTTACTGCTTCTGTGAAGATGATCATTGTTTTTTATATTGATATGTTCTATTACATTCATTGATTTTCATATGTTAAATCAATCTTCCATTATGGATAAATTCCAGTGAGTTATGTTGCATATGCACATAAAAATTGTGTACAATTGTGATTATTCTTGAAGAATCTTTCTCAGAAGTGGAATGACTGTGTCAAAATTTGATAGATAATATTCTTCTAGAAAAATGCTATCCAAAGTTACACTGCCACCAACAGTTAGAAGTGTCCTCTTCCTTATGTGTATGACAGCATGGGATATTATTTATCTTTAAAGTTTGCTAAACTAATGGATAAAAACTATATTTTATTTTTTGCTGTAATTTGTATTTCATGATTCCTAATGAATTGGGACATCCTCTCCCTTATAGTCCATCTGTATTGCTTTTTCTAAACCAAATATATCTTTTTTAGTTTCTTACACAATGAAGAAGGCCAGGGGGTGGTATTTGGGTCTGAAGTAAAAACTTTCCAAATCCTCTATGGAAAAAAAAAAATCTTTGTTTCCAGGTAGTGTAACTAATGTGACTAGGAAGTCTTTCACAACATGACAACATGAGTTCTAGCAATGATAGATAGATTTGTTGGTGTTTTGCCTTTGGACTCAGAGGGTATCAGGGACACATATGATTCTCATCTGTTGGAAGTGACCTATGTAGTACCTCCCTGCATTGTTCTGGCAACAGCCACAGGACTGACTGGTCTGCGAAACTTCCAGCCTTATGGCTTTCCTCTGCTTAAAGGACCAGGCCTTTCCCCTGCTTCATCCCCAATAGGTACTCTTGTTTTGTCCTCTACCACCACTGCTACCTACTCACTGCTAGGGACATCCTAACATCTCGTATTTTGCTCCTGGGACCAGCTTACTTTTGTCAAAGGATGT